TCTCTCTCTCTCTCTCTCTCTCTCTCTCTCTCTCTCTCTCTCTCCTTTTTTTTTTTTTCGCGTACTCTTTGAATGGGCATTTGCCGCCTTCCATGATTGGCAGGCCACCTTTGTCTTGCATTATGGCGTGAGCCCGTGGTATTGTGGGACCCCAAGTCCCACACAATCTCGTTTCCTTTTGCCCCCCCTTCGCACATGATTCCTTTGCATTGTATGGGTGCATAGCCCAAACATCTTATCACTTTCCCTTTTATACACTCTCTATCTCTCTCCTTCTCTCGCTCTCTAGTTCGCGTGTACCGTAGGCCACCATGCCATGCGGGTATTTGTTGTTTCAGGTCCATACATCAAGAGCGTGTCGAGAGAATTAGGCAAAAGAGGAATGAACTAGCAAGAATGGGGATACAAATAGCAAACCCTAGAAGGGTTGTACTCGCTATAGAGCACCCCACTACAGGCTAGAGCATAATATTCTGACACACCCCCATAGCCAAAGTGGGGTGTAATCAGCAGAGGAAACAAAGCAGTTTAAGCTCAGGGTGGATCACGATGTCACCACACATTCTGAGCACAAGCAAGAAGCAATAGTTTAAGGTTCACAATTATGAGCAAAGCTAGAGGCAGTCACAGGGGGCAAGTGAGGAGGAGGAGGGCTGGCGAGAGGAGAGTAGATAGGAGGCGACGACTGAAGCTGCAGACACACGGGCAACAGACGGCTCTGGTGCGACAACGTGGCTACCGGGAATGAGTGCCCCGGAGTACAGGAGTAACAGGCTCCGCGGCTAATATGCGCGGCAGGAGCAACGGACCCACAGGCGACGGCGCAACCGGCTCTCTGAGCTACCGGTGGCTAATCGACCCCCGGAATACAGGCGCTGCGGACGACACGACGGCGGCCTCCGCTCAACCTCCTCCAACTGTCCCACACCCCTCGACACACACCCCCTGCTGAACCCCTAGCTCCACTCCCACGGCACCCCCCTTTAAACCCTAACCCTCGGCTCCCACACATCCACCCCCCTCAGCGGCAGCTGCAGCAGTGGGAGACGGCGCACACACACGGCACCCCCATAGCTGCCACCCCCACACTCCTCACCCCCAAACCCTAAAAACGGGCGGAACGGGGGAAGGAGCACGGGGGACGGCGAGGGGGACGGCGCGCGGCCCCCAGGACGCCACCACGGGGCAGCGAGGGGCCGCGCGCGGCTCCCCAGGGCGGCGCGACGGGAAATCGGGGGGGGGGGGGGGGGGGGGGGGGCGCGGGCGACGGGATCGCGGGGCCGCGGGCGACGGGATCGCAGGGCCGCGGGCGACGGGATCGGGGGGCCGCGGGCGACGGGATCGCGGGGCCGCGGGCGACGGGATCGGGGGGCCGCGGGCGACGGGATCGCGGGGCCGCGGGCGACGGGATCGGGGGGCCGCGGGCGACGGGATCGGGGGGACGCGGGCATCCCCCACGGGAGGAAACCGCCGCGCGCCTCGGGGCGCACGGCGGGGAGAAACCCGCCGCACGCCCCGAGCGCGCGGCGGGATGAAAAATCCGTAAAAAAAAATTCTGCGCGCGGCAGGAAGGAGGCGTCGCGCGACCAGTAGAACAGCAGCGGAAGCATTTGGTGGTGGGCCCACCCACAGGATCGACCCAACAGGATCGTCCTGCTCTGATACCATGTCGAGAGAATTAGGCAAAAGAGGAATGAACTAGCAAGAATGGGGATACAAATAGCAAACCCTAGAAGGGTTGTACTCGCTACAGAGCACCCCACTACAGGCTAGAGCATAATATTCTGACAGAGCGCATGCTCCTTTTTTTTTTTTTTTTTTCAAGCAAGTCCAACAACTTCGCCCATTAGGCCTTTCCACTCATTCATAAGAGCATACAAGCATTATTTCCAATCCCATGTTCACCTAGGACTCCTAGTCCTACACCCCTTGCCTTGGGGTAGGCCCGCGGCCTTTCTCACATCCCCTATGGGATAGGCCAGCGACCTCGCACTTCCTAGTGCCATCACCCTCACTCGAGCCTCTCGGCACCACCCCCTAGGGTGTTCACACCACCGGCGCCGGCCCTTGGGCTCCTCCCCCATTTTCCGGGCAAGCATTGGCCATGTGGCCCGGCTGCCCACAACGGAAGCATGAGCCACGAAAGCTCCTGCCATTGCCATCAAGTGGGGGACCGCGCTTGTTGCCAAATGCCATGGGCCCGCGCCCTCCGCCACGTGGAGTGCGAGTGAAATTGCCTTGGGCGCGCTCCATGGCCGCCACGTCCGCGACGGCCTGCTTGAACGGACGTGAGGTGAAGACACTCTTATCTTCGTAGAGCTTGAAGCGATTTGCGGTGCGGAAGTTGGTGTAGTCGGCGACATGGAGTAGCTTGAAGCGGTTGTTGATGAGTGTGAAGGCTTCGCCAAGGTATTCGAGGGCGCTTTCCGGCTCATTGTGTCGCACTTTGTGCTCCGCATGCTTCAGGTACGCCCGCAGGTGTTCCAGGACCTCGGCTTGCTCGCGCACGGCAGCGTTCTTGAACGAGGCGGCGGTTAGAGTGGGATTGGGTGAGGGGAGTGGGGGGAGTTGCTCAACGGGTGCGAAAGAGGCATTTACGGCATGTGCCTCACCATCGTCGTCGTCTTCGTTGTCGCTGTCGATAGGGTTGTTCGTGACTGGAGTGGCGGCGGCGCGTGTGTCTTCGCCCCTTCCGGTTTTTGTCGTGCGAGCGCGCTTGACAGGCTCCGTTTTCGCCTTTTCGCTTTTAGCAGAAACGGAAGTCGCGTTCGGTGTAGCAATTTCTTCAGTAACAGCAGGGGCGTGCTGCTGTAACAGGGACAGAAGCTGCTGCAGTTGGGCTGCAGAAAAAGTTGGCGCCACTTGGGCACCCTTCGCCACTTGCGCGTCAGGCGCCACAGGCGCGTCAGGGCCCACAGGCGCGTCAGGGCCCGCGGGCCTGCGGCGCTGACGCGGACGCGGGGTGCCGGCTGTGCTGGTTGGCGCCGATTTGGCGCCTTCTGTCGTGGCCGGCGCGTCAGGGGCCACAGGGGCTCGAGGCACACCAGGGGCGCGTGCCTCGACGCCCGTGGCGTGTGCCTCGGTCGGGCCGAGCAGGACGTCGACGCCAGTCGGGGAATTTTCCCCGTCGTCTGCCCGGCGCTTGTTCGGGCGATCGCCCGCGATTTCGCGAGCGTTTCTTCCGGACTCGGGTCGAGAGGGGGCGGTAGTGGTATTAACCTCGCCGCCGTTAAGTGCCATAGCTGATGCGTTGTGTGCGAGGATGTCCGAGAGTAAAGTTGACGGAGATTGAAAACGGGGAAGAGACTTCAACTTCGCCAGCTTGGAAAGGGAGACGAAAATCGAGAGTGAAAATTGAGACTTCAAATCGGCTAAACCGTTTGAAAATGAGAGACGTGGGTGGAGGGAAATGACCTCCAGCCCACGTTTTGTACTCCAAAACGGGCGTTTAGCGCGGCTCGACGCTGCCAAATCCTACATTACAGGCAGCTTCGCTTTCGAAATACATAATTTTAAAAAGCATTACAGCTTTTAAAAATATACATTTTTTGTTACTCGTAACATTGAGTTTTTTTTTTTTTTTTTTTCTGTACACGCTCATCTTGGTCGAAGAGCTACATACCTACGGCGCCAATGATAATCCCGTATGTCAGCTAAAGAATTCTCTCTATTATATTAAGCAGACTCTATGCATATGGCAGCGATACTTTTACCAATTCCTCCACAACATCGGCTTCGTACAGTTGCCACACAACTGTCAGAATCCCAGCCACTAACCACTGGGATAAAAGGGCTTGTTTGTGTGGCGGGTGAGTGCGCCCATAACCCCCCAGGCCAACGTGCCTGTAACCCTTCCCTAGGATCAACGGGGATCACCAGTGGACCTCTGACACCCCCCCGCACTGGGATGCCCGAAGTGCATACACCGGGATTCGAACCCGAGACCTTTGCTCTGATACCATGTCAGAATCCCAACCACTAACCATTGGGATAAAATGGCTTGTTTGTGTAGCGGGTGAGTGCGCCCATAACCCCCCAGACCAACGTGCCTGTAACCCTTCTCTAGGATCAATCGGGGATCACCAGTGGACCTCTGACAACAACCTTGGAATGGGGCTTTACTTTCTCGGCGGCTACGTTCTTCTCATGGTCTACGTAGACGACCTGACGTATATAGGGACAATTAACGACCAGTTTAACCGGTTAGAAAGGCCTGACCAAGCATGTGGACATTGCCAACAACCACATGATCACCCAATTCCTTAACCTAAACGTCACTGATCCATTTTTTAGCATTGAAATACCTCAACAAGTTCAACAAGAAGGCAGGATCCATCTCAACTCTTTACTGCACACATGCAACAAGGCGCACACCCAGCACTGCACCATTTAACCTAGCTGCACATTCACTTCATCAGTTACAGCTTATGCGTCTACTCTTTGCTGCTGGAACCTGCAAGTTCAACCTCACTTCCGTCGCCATCCAGCTCACCCAATTCATTAAGCAACACGAGGAGGTGACATGTTTGATATTCAACGGACACTGCAGTACTTCATCTCCACCCCAGACGTCGGCATCAATTAAAACCTGTTGTATTCCTCCGTAAATACCCCGTACCTTACTGTTAGGGTAATTTATGTCGAGATGAATATTCGTTCACTGACAAGATCTGTACCAACCACAAAGCACTTCCTCTACTACACTCGAGTGATAAATCCTGCGATCGGTAAAAGATTGCTTGGTTCTAACAATATGCACGAGTACGATACAAACGTTTGGTGGTGAGAGTTGCATTTACATGCTGAAGAAACAACACGAGTACATCAGTAGACCAACCGGCCATCCAGAGCTCTTATAATGATCAAACTCATAACTAGTGTATTTGCCTTGTTATGGGGTTGTATTTCATTAAACAAGAAAGCATGATTGAATGAAGCATTTAATGTGAAGAACTTTAGTTGTACACGCTGAGGAAAATCGGAGATTGCACTGTAGCTGTATGCGGAGTTTTATATGCCGACAGTCGGAGATTGCAGTGCAGCCAATTCCGCCAGGTCCCGCTGGTTCGTTGGGCTGCTACTTGGTACGCTCCGTCATTTTTCCGAATGTCAGTCGCGATGTTCCTTCCGACGAATTTAGGAGGCGCATAGTGGAGTACCAAGAAGGGGAGTTCGCGACTGGGAGCGAAAGGTGTCAATCATGTTTGAGGCTCACGTAAGTCTTACTTTGCTGGCTTCTTCTCTTAGCGAAGTCGCCTTTCACATGACGTCAACCTGGCTAGCTTCTTGGGCCAGCGAGACATCAGGAGGGCTTGATGCCTGCCGGTTGCGTAACTCGACTGATTGGATTCTACTGTCGAAAATGATAGTCTTCATTCCAGTTATCAGAGTCCCAAGTTACGTCGACTTGGCCAAATTACCGATAGAGTTTCACGTGACGTGAATCATGCGTATCCGTATCATCGCTCGATTTCCACAGGCCCTTTGTCTCTCTGTGAACTGCTGAGTTGACTCGCAGGTGCTGGGCCTGCTGCGCAAGTATCTGGGCGAGTATGTGCGCAACATCCCCGACGAGGCGCTCAAGATCAGCGTGTGGCAAGGTCAGACACCCCGGATCCTTCTGTCATACACTGTCATGTCTCTTCTGGGATTCAGCGTTACTGCTTGTGCGTATTCTCGTGCCTCTCATCTTTCTCCACCTGTTGGTTGCCGTGCCTCTTCCTCCTACTGTCCCTGCTGACGTTCATGCGCCTGTTCATGTGCCTGCGTGCGTCAATCATGGTGCGGGTGACGCGTGTGACGCGGCCATGCATGCACGGTGCACACCAGGCGACGTGGTGCTGCGCGATCTGCAGCTGAAGGAGGAGGCGCTCAACCGCCTGCGCCTGCCCATCGCTGTCAAGGCGGGCTTCATTGGCTCCGTCAACCTCAAGGTCTCCACTGCTCCTCCCTGCTGCTCGCACTGCTCGCATGCATGCCGCTGCTGTCTTTTTGCTTCTCCTTTTTTTGTGCCAGTCTCCTGAACAGGTCTGAGTGACCCTATCCTGTGTTGTCACCTTATTAGAGACGTGTTGGAAACATCATGGTCGCATTACCGGCACATCAAAGGCCTTAATATGCCAGAATGTGCTGAGATGTTTGCTTAGTTCGTGCATGATGTGCTGTAATGTGCCATGATGTGCTGTAATGTGCCATGATGTGCTGTAATGCGCCATGATGTGCTGTAATGCGCCATGATGTGCTGTAATGTGCCATGATGTGCTGTAATGTGCCATGATGTGCTGTAATGTGCCATGATGTGCTGTAATTTGCAATGATGTGTCACAATGGTCACGTAGTGGGCAAGCTTTGTGCCGCAATGTATTATATCGTGTGCCATACTGGGCTGAAATGTTTGGAAATGTTCGCATAACATGCTGCTGTTGTGCCATGATTCGGTGTAATGTGACGCAATGTGCCAACTTGTGCACAGGATGTATGATAATGCCTAAATATTCTAGTTTGGGCTGTGCCTGCACAACACCTCAAGGGTGTTTCTGCAGCACTGTGGCAGTACTGTGCAATGATGCCAAGATTAAGGCGCTGGAAAGCACTGCTGTGGTGTGACAAGATTCACGGTGTGCCCTGATTTACCCTCATTTACCTGCGCTGTGAAGTGAAGGGCCATGCTCTGCCATCCATTACCGTGGTGTGCTGTGCTGTGCTGTGTGGTGCGGTGCCATGCGGTGCAGGTGCCATGGAGTCGCCTGGGAGTGGAGCCGGTGGTGCTGCTGCTGGACCGAGTCTTCATCCTCGCCCACCCCTCCTCCGCCCCCGCCTCCGCCTCCCATCAGGTCCCGCCGCACCCCTCCCCCGCTGCCTCCATCCCCTCCCCACCATGCCTCCAATCCGTGTTCCCGCCACCCTTCTCCCCCCTGGCTTCTCATTTGTCTTCTCGCTTTTGTGCTTCCCCAATGCCTTTCGCTCCACACGTCTATCCACAGTCCCACTCTTTGTGCTCGTCCTTCCCGCTGTCTCAATATCACATGTCCTAAGCGCCAGCTGTTGCCCCTCTGTCTCCACCATCTGCTGCACTGCACTTGCCATCGTGCGTGTGTGGCTTTCTTCCGCGGGGCTGGGCTGGGCTGCAGTCAGCGGAGGAGGAGGAGCAGCAGCGCCTGGAAGCAAAGCGGCGCAGAATAGAGGTACGCCGTGTGCCACCGCTGCTCGTGTGGTTTTGTGCCCATGGTGCTGTGCAACGTGCAAATAACGCCTCTTATGTGCTGTCGTGCCTATCGTGTGCTGCCACGTGCAGGAGGCGGAGGAAGCAATGCTGGAAGCCAGGGAGCGACAGAAGGCAGGAGGCGCCGAACAGGTGAGTCATGATGAGAGGAGACGAGGGGCGAGAGAGCAGTTGAGGGGGAGGACAAGCAGGGAGAGGAGGAGAGAGAGGCGAGGGGGAGGAAAAGCAGTGAGAGGAGGAGAGAGAAGTGAGGGGGTGGAAAAGCAGGGAGAGGAGGAGAGAGAAGTGAGGGGGATGAAAAGCAGGGAGAGGAGGAGAGAGAAGTGAGGGGGAGGAAAAGCAGGGTGAGGAGGAGAGAGAGGTGAGGGGGAGGGAAAGCAGGGAGAGAGGAGAGAGAGGTGAGGGGGAGGGAAAGCTGGGAGAGGAGGAGAGAGAAGCGAGGGGGAGGGAAAGGTGGGAGGGGAAGGGAGAGCAGGTGAAGGAGTGTAGAGTGGGGGGGCCAATGCAGGAAGCTATACGACTGCCTGTGCCATGGTCAGCCAGTTCTCACAAGCTCTACCTTCCCTTTTCCCACTCTGGATATTTTCTTGCTGAAATTATTTCCAATGCATGTGGTGTGGCATACATGGTGCCACGTCACTGTATACATGTGGCATGGCATGGCATGGCATGGCGTGCATGCATGGATGGGGGGTGGTGGCAGGCGGGCAGCGGGTCATGGATATCATCGCTGATCGCCACGATAGTGGGCAACATCAAGATCTCCTTCACCAACGTGCACATCCGATATGAGGACTCCGGCAGGTCTGCCCCTCCTGCTCCCATACCCATTCCATGCACGCAAGCACCGTAGGGGCATGGCGCCTCCTTCAATCATTGCTCATTTGCCATCCTTGGTCAATGGGAGGCACCTTTTCTCCTCACGCCGTCCCTTGCTCCCCTGCTTGCTCTGCTCCCCTGCTTGCTCTGCTCCCCATCGACAGCTTGTCAGGCCGCCCCTTCTGCACGGGGGTGACACTAGCCAGGCTGGCAGCGGTGACCACGGATGAGAACTGGGTGGAGACCTTCGTCACCAGCGGGGCGCTCGACAGCCTCTACAAGGTGCGCGCCCAGTGCCCACCCTCCCTCTGCTCTTCCCACACTTGGTTTCCTTTGCTGCCCACGCACAGGTTCATCTTCGTGTCTCTGCTGTGCTCACTGCCAGTGCTCCATGCATGATGGCGTGCTATGGAATCCGTCCACACCCCTCCGCCCACCTGCCCCTGCCTTCACCCGCCCCTGGCTATGTGTGTGTGGGGGAGGCAGGCGGTGCATCTGGAGCGCCTGGCGGTGTACCACGACAGCAACAGCGGGCCGTGGAACCCACACACCGCATGGGACGCAATGCAGGGCGACCAGTGGAGCGAGGTATGCCCGCCCGCCTTCCCCTCCCCCTGCCCGCCTGCACATGTCCTTTGCAAGGGTCTGCGGGATGAGTGAGCTCCTTTCAGTGCTCAACGACCCCGAGGGTCCGCCCTCACCCATGCGCTGCTGCGCTGTGCTGTGCTGTGCTGTGCTGTGCTGTGCTGTGCTGTGCTGTGCTGTGCTGTGCTGTGCTGTGCTGTGCTGTGCTGTGCTGTGCTGTGCCGTGCGTGGTGGCGCCTGCTGCCGCTGGCAGGTGTTTGAGGCGGGCATTCATGAGGAGGCGCCACCCAGTGCAGTTGGTATCGACTGGGCGGCGAATCGGCAGTTTCTGCTGCACCCGGTGGACGGCAGGATGCGGTACGAGCGGCGCAGCAAGAAGGAGAGGCGGCAAGACGATGTGCCGTTCCAGACTGTTGCCCTGCAGCTGGGGCAGGTGGCGCTCACTCTTTCACAGGTCAGTGCAGCTGGGGCAGGTGGCGCTCACTCTCTCACAGGTCAGTGCAGCTGGGGCAGGTGGCGCTCACTCTCTCACAGGTCAGTGCAGCTGGGGCAGGTGGCGCTCACTCTCTCACAGGTCAGTGCAGCTGGGGCAGGTGGCGCTCACTCTCTCACAGGTCAGTGCAGCTGGGGCAGGTGGCGCTCACTCTCTCACAGGTCAGTGCAGCTGGGGCAGGTGGCGCTCACTCTCTCACAGGTCAGTGCAGCTGGGGCAGGTGGCGCTCACTCTCTCACAGGTCAGTGCAGCTGGGGCAGGTGGCGCTCACTCTCTCACAGGTCAGTGCAGCTGGGGCAGGTGGCGCTCACTCTCTCACAGGTCAGTGCAGCTGGGGCAGGTGGCGCTCACTCTCTCACAGGTCAGTGCAGCTGGGGCAGGTGGCGCTCACTCTCTCACAGGTCAGTGCAGCTGGGGCAGGTGGCGCTCACTCTCTCACAGGTCAGTGCAGCTGGGGCAGGTGGCGCTCACTCTCTCACAGGTCAGTGCAGCTGGGGCAGGTGGCGCTCACTCTCTCACAGGTCAGTGCAGCTGGGGCAGGTGGCGCTCACTCTCTCACAGGTCAGTGCAGCTGGGGCAGGTGGCGCTCACTCTCTCACAGGTCAGTGCAGCTGGGGCAGGTGGCGCTCACTCTCTCACAGGTCAATGCAGCTGGGGCAGGTGGCGCTCACTCTCTCACAGGTCAGTGCAGCTGGGGCAGGTGGCGCTCACTCTCTCACAGGTCAGTGCAGCTGGGGCAGGTGGCGCTCACTCTCTCACAGGTCAGTGCAGCTGGGGCAGGTGGCGCTCACTCTCTCACAGGTCAGTGCAGCTGGGGCAGGTGGCGCTCACTCTCTCACAGGTCAGTGCAGCTGGGGCAGGTGGCGCTCATCCCTTGCCCATCCCGCCCTTGTACATTGGATCACGACCTCTCAACACCCCGTCCCCTGTCAACCCCCCATTGCTTGTGAGCAGACGCAGTACGAGGATGGGATGCGCTTCATGGAGGCGGCAGCGCTGTACCGCCGCCGTGCCGACGTCGCTCACCTGCGCCCGCGCCTGCCCGTGCACGCCCATGCCGCCCTCTGGTGGCGCTTTGCTGCGCGCGCCCTGCTGCAGCAGCACCACGCCCTCAGGTGCGCCCTGCTGCACGCCTGACTGCCGCCCTTGGCTGTTCCCCACCATGTCCCATCCCAGTGCCAAGTGCTGTTGGTGTGCGCGCACTGACCAGTGCGCCGTGCTGTGCGGCATGCAGGCCAACAATGACATGGAAGGCCATCAAGGACAGCTGCAACATGCGGCGCCGCTACGTGGCGGCATACACGCAAGCGCTGCTGGACGCGTGGGCGTCGGGCGCCCCTGTGAAGCCGGGTGCAGCGGCGGACAGCGCTGAGATGCGCTCCATTGAGGCACACGTCAGCGTCGAGGTCGCCCTGCTCTGGCGGTGAGCTCCCAGCCACGGGGGGGGAGGGTTGGAGGGAGTGGCTAGGGCAGAATAAGCGAGGGAGATTGAGTCAGAGGATGGCTGGTGTGTCAGGCCTATGCGCACCCCGCATGCCATGCTTTGACTGCTGCCCTGCTCTCCTGCCGCTTCCCTGTCCCTCACTTGCCGTTCTTCTCTCTGCCCCCTGTGCCTCTGCGCCCCCCCATGCGGCACAGAATGCTGGCGCACTCGCAGGCGGAGCGCAGCCGACCCAAGGCACAGCGGCAGGCAGTGCAGCCCAAGGCCACGGGGTGGTTCGCCTCCTGGTGAGACGGGGTGGTCCGGGGGATACCATGACCCACAAGGCCACATGCACGGATTCTACAAGTGCTGGGGCGCTGTGCCTTGCTGCCACTCGTTGCTGCTGCCTTCTTGCCGCCTGCTGCCTGCTTCCCTAAACCCTGTCCGTGGCCCGATCCACACCTCATCCTTGCTGTCTGTGTGCCAACCCAACCTACCTCTCATCCCCCATCTTGCTGTGTGTTCTGGGTGCATGGCAGGCGAGGGGCGTCTGTGCCAGCAGAGGCAGGGGGGGGCGAGGGGGCGGAGGAGGAGGGGCTGGCGGGAGGGTTGAGTGCGGAGGAGTGGGAGAAGATAGAGGAGCTGGTGCGCGCGGGGGAGGAGGCGCAGTATGAGCCGGGGCAGGCGGCGGCGGGGGCGGTGCAGATGGTGGTGGCGGTGGGCATGGACTGCTTCCGCGCGCGCCTGGTGGACGGGGGGGCGGGGGTGGACGGGCAGGCAGGCGTGGACGGGGGGGCGGGTGTGGATGTGGTGTGCGGGTCGTGCCACCACCTGCACGTGGCGCTGCGCCTCTTCCCTCTCATGCTCAAGGCTGACGTCAGCCTGCGCCTCTACGACCTCTCCGTGCCTGAAGGCACGCTCATTGAGGTGCGCTGGCGTGCTGAGAGGAGGTTTGGTGAAAGGGCGAGGTGCATGTTTATTGCTTGTCATTGGAGTGTTTTGCTCTGCATGGGGGTGTCTCTGACATTTACTGTTGCTGTCATGCATTTATATATTGCTGTTACTTGCACCACGTTCTATGCACTCAGGAACTTGCCCCTGCCGTGGCCTGGTGTGTGTGTGTGTGTGTGTGTGTGTGTGTGTGTGTGTGTGTGTGTGTGTGTGTGTGTGTGTGTGTGTGTGTGTGTGTGTGCACTCTCGTGCATGAGAGCGCAGAGTGTGAGCAGGGAGGGCAAGGAGGCAGCGTTGACAGCATCATTCGTGCAGCACCCCATCGATGAGCACCTCGACTGGATGCTCATCGCTGCTTTCTCGCCCTGCCACGTCACGGTAACCCTGCCACCCCTCCCTCTTCCCGCATTACCTTGCTCTCATCCCGCCTCTCTCCTCCCTCCCTATTTCCTCATCCCTCATACCTCGTCCCTCCTCCCTCGTCACTCCTCCCTCGCCCTACATCCCTCGTCTTCTTCATTCCCTGGACGGCATACACCGTCACTCTCCTTGACCTCTGCTTTGCTCTCTCACATCCCCCCCTGGTGTGATCTCTCACAATCCCCCCTTGCGATGTCTTTCCTCTGAATCTCCCTCCCGCCTTTTCCCTCTCAACCCCCTGATGGCCTTACAGCTGTGGCGGCGCAGCATAGACCGGGTGCTGCACTTCCTGCGGGCGGGCCAGCAGGCCACACCTGCCGTCGCCCTCGAGACCGCTGCCGCCCTGCAGGTGCCCCCCCTCTCTCTGCGCTGCCCTTGGATCATGCACCCGCTCACTAAGGCACTAAGCACGCATACCTTACTGCCACCCTCCTTTACGTGGTAATTGAGAATGCGTGACCTTCTACGTACCAACTCACAAGTGCTTCCTTTGCTGTTCTGCACACCCTTCCATGCCCCTGCCACCCTGCTCCCGCCCGCGCCTGCCCTCCTCCCTGCAGAGCAAGCTGGAGGACGTGCGGCGGCAGGCCCAGCAGCAGCTGCAGCAGGTGCTGCAGCGACGCACTAGGTATGGGGGAAAGGCGGGGGAAAAGGGTGAAGGGAGGGCAGAAGAGCGAGTGGGGGCTTTGGGGCTGCCACAGGGGCCGTGAGGTCCAGGATGCTTTGGAGCACACCACATGCCAACGCACCCTTCACTGCCCCGTCACTGCCACTTCAATGCATCACCTTTGCACTCTCACCCCTGCCCATTGCATATTCCCCCCCCACCACTCCCCGCAGGTTCTCCATCGACCTGGACGTGGACGCGCCCAAGGTGGCCATCCCTGCTGACCCGTCGCCCCACGGGGAGCCGCCCACGCAGCTGCTGCTGGACTTGGGCCACTTCACACTCAAGACCGACCAGGTGCCCTGCTCAGCCTCGTGCAGCCCTTCAAAGTGGTCCCCCCGCCTCGCACCATCAGCCGCCTACAGCTATGTGACGAGCCTCACAGCCTCGCCATGCTCAGCTATCTTGCTTCGACGCTCACGAGGAGCGTTTTGGCCTTTGACAAGCTGGCCAGTGGCCTGCCATTGCTCATGCATTGCCCTCTTACCACCTCACCGCTCCCCCACCCGCCCCCTTGCCCTTTGTGGCGTGCAGGACGACCCGTCAGCGGAGGGCAGTGAGGCAGCGGCGGCAGCAGCGCTGTACACGCGGTTCAAGATTACAGCCACTGACATCTCCATGTTCGTTGCTGATGGCGCCTTTGACTGGCGTACCTACCAGCAGCAGCAGCAGGGGCAGCATGGTGGCACGGATGGGGAGGAGGGTGCAGGGGAGGGCGGATCAGGGGGGCTGCGACTAGACTTGCTGCAGAAGTGTGGCCTCTCTGCCGTGCTGCACCAGGTGGGTCTCTGCCGTGCTGCACCAGGTGGGTCTCTGCCGTGCTGCACCAGGTGGGTCTCTGCCGTGCTGCACCAGGTGGGTCTCTGCCGTGCTGCACCAGGTGGGTCTCTGCCGTGCTGCACCAGGTGGGTCTCTGCCGTGCTGCACCAGGTGTGCCCCTCTAGTCTGCTCGCATACCACCATGTGCCTATGCTACATCTTAGCACACTGTGGAAACGAGCATGAGTGCAAATGCGTGTGCTGCATGCCATGCCACACCCCTGGCGGCGGTGCATGTGCAGATGATGGTGGAGCACCCCAGCTACCCCACAACGCGCATTGCCGTGTGGCTGCCCTGCCTCGCCTTCCACTACTCGCCCGCGCGCTACCGCCGCCTCATGCGCGCCCTCCGAGCGCTCTCCCCCGCACCGCCTCCTGCTGCTCAAGCCCACGCTGCGGAGGGCGCGGTGGCGGGCGAGGGTGATGGGGCGGTGGCGGTGCGACCATGGCAGCAGGCCGACCAGGCGGGCGATGTGTGCCTGCTGCAGTGGACGGTGAGAGATGGGATGTGTGCCTGCTGCAGTGGACGGTGAGGGGTGGAAAATGGGTGTGTGTATGTGGTGCAGCCATTTCCATGTGAAGTTGTATCGCATCACCCATTCCTTCCCCTGCCCCATGCACTCATCCCTTTGCCTCCTTATCTCTCATGTTCTTGTCACGCCCTTCTCCTACGCCCTTCTCATGTCCATACGTTGGCCCCACGGCAGCGCATAGGCAGTGCAGCAGAGTGGGTGCCGTACTGGGCGGCGCTGGTGGGGCCCACACTGTACCTGCTGGACCATCCTGAGGCAATCAAGCCACACAAGCAATTTAAGTACGCCACCCCGCTTATGCCTCTCACCACCATCCCACTCTCTCCCCAGCCTGTGTCCGCCACCCACCATGTGCCACTCAAAGTCGTTATTTTTTGCCACATCATAAATATATAAATGCATACACCTGACCACGTCATGGTCCCCCACCCCCATCCCTCCCTCGCGTGCATGGCAGTCTGAGCAGCGCCATGGGGGTGCTGGACGTGCCCCCGCAGCACATAGCGGGCTACCACCACGTCATTGCCCTCGCTGCCCGCGGCGCTCAACCTGCCAAGGTGCGTCGCCTCGCCCCCCATGCTGCTGCATCTTACCAGCTCATCTGTGTGCCGCGCTGCCTTTCATCTGTGTGCCGCGCTGCCCCTCATCTGTGTGCCGCACTGCCCCTCATCTGTGTGCCGCGCTGCCCCTCATCTGTGTGCCGCGCTGCACCTCATCTGTGTGCCGTGCTGCACCTCACATGCCCACACATCGGCGTTTCTTCCCTGCTGGGCTTCCCCGCTTCGCTGTTAGGCGTACAACATTGGAAGTGCTTTGTTTGATGTTCCATTTCCTTGCTTCTTGCCCCTTTGTGCATGCTACTTGTTCCTGAGTCATTGTTGCTTGCTGCGTATTGCTTTGGCGTTGCTTACGGTGCTGCTTGCTGCGGTGGCTGCCGTGGCTGTGGAGGGAGCAGGTGGTGCTGTCAGGGCAGGCGGTGGTGCTGCGACTCAAGTCGGAGGCCCTCAAGGCGCAGTGGGCTGCACGCCTCACAACCGCGCTCTACCACGCCTCTGTGAGTGCCGTGGGCCCGCACCCCCCTCTGCCACTGCTTCACCACCCAGAGCATTGGAGATGGATGCGAGGCAGTGAAGGTGGGCACAGTGAGGCACATGCATGCCATGCGGCACTGAAAGGTCGCAATAGCCTCGCCTCCTCCTTCCTCTTCGCTCTCCTCGCCCACCACGAGTGTGTCTCACACATACCTGTGCCCACACGGCTCTGCCTGCTCGCCCCATTGTGTGTGCCGCACAGGCGCCTGCCTCCATGGACCTCCTCACTGACGACGCCTTCTCCTCAGATGCACCTGAAGAACCACCTGACCACGTGCCCCCTGCCTCACCTGAGCGACAGCTGGCTGCAGGAGAGCCGTTGTCGCCGTCTGTGCGTGTGGCACCAGTGGTGCAGGAGGCGGGAGCAGCAGCGGGCGCGCAGGAGAAGCCGTTTCTGTACATCATGGGCTCGCTGGACGACCTGCGCCTCGCCATCAGCTCCGTCGTGAGTCTCGCCGCTCTCGCCGCTCTCGCCATGTCGGCTTGCATTGCATGAGGCGCTGGCAATGTGTGAGGGGAATGGGGCACAGCTGTAAGTCATTACACTTGGTGTGTTGTAAGTTCACGCTCTTCCTGTCCTGATCACTGCTCCACCCACCACTTTTTCTTACTGTCTTTCTCATCTCCCTGCCCACCTCCCTGGCCCACCCTCCCAACCTCCAGCGGCGAGGGGCGGCATCGTGGGATGAGGAGGAGAGGATAATTGAGATCCGGGCGGCGGGGGGGAAGGTGGAGGTGCAGCAGCGGTCGGCGGACGTGGCGGTGGGCGTGGGCGTGCGCGAGGTGGAGGTGGAGGACTTCTTCCAGGGCGCTGGCCCCCTCGCCCCCACCTGCCGCCTCATGGCCCGCTCCCTGCTCGCCCCCCACGCCGCTCCTGCTGCTGCTGCGGTGCCGCGCAGAGGAGGGGGACGAGAGGGCGGGGAGGAGCAGCACAAGGAGCAGGATGTGGGGGAGGGTGTGCGTGGCGATGGTGGGCGTGGCGGTGGCGAGAGAGGTGATGGTGGGGGCGGCCGGCACACAGGTGCAGATGTGGCGCCTGCGGCTGAGCAGGGGGCTCCAGGCGTGAGCACACGGGAGACACCGGCGGGTGCTGGGATAGGGGATATGGACACGAAAGAGGAGGGAAAAGGGGGCAATGAAGGCAAAGGGAGTGAGGAGGGCAAGGAGGGCAAGGAGGGGGATAATGAGGAGGATGAAGAGGATGAGGACGAGGATGGGTTTGCGGATGCGGAGGCGGAGTTCCTGATGTCGCCCACGTCATCAGGGGCGTCCACACCACGCCACGGTGCAGCAGCGCTTGAGGGCGACGGAGGCGGGGGGTACGGCGGAGCGGCGGAGTTCTTCGATGCGCGCGACTTTGCTCTGGACGACGGCGACGCCGCCAACGTGCCCAGCTTTGGCCGCGCTGGCAGGCTGCTGCCCGACATGGGATGGCAGCACGCGGGGGCGAGCAGGCGGCGCGCTAGGCACAAGGAGGGCGAGGAGGAGGAAGGGGGGGCAGGCAAGGAGGAAGAGGAGGAGGAGGAGGAGGAGGAGGGACTTTGTGGTGGTGCAGATCGGCATGTACCAGCCGTCATCTCCCAGCTACACTGGCGTTGACACTCAGGTGCGCTGCTGTGCTGCGAGACACGAAACAGATTGACTATTGCCTTGTCCACACACGCTGCCACTCCTCTCCTCCATGCTCTCCCACCACCTGCATGTCACCTCGCTTCTTCTCCGTGTGCTTTCTTGTTTGTGCCGTCTGCTGCTGTGTATGGCGCTGCTGTGTATGGCCGCGAGCAGGTGGCAGTGGAGATGGCAACGCTAGAGTTCTTCTGCAACCGACTCTCCATCGTCGCTCTCATGGAACTCTCCACCTACCTCTCGCCACCACCGCTCCCCTCCTCGCCTGCTGCCACCACCGCCACACAGCCGTCGCACACAGCAGGCACAGCTCCTGTGCCTCCCACTGTTGACCTCCCGGCCCCTGCTCTCCCTGCTGCTCCCGTTGCTGAGATTGGCAGCCCTGGCATGGGAGGCAGCCGCAGCAGGGGAGGGGATGAAGGGCGGAAGGGAGAGGGTGTGGAGGAGAAGGGGGAGCGGGAGGGGCAGATGGGGCGGGAGGCGGTGAAGGGGTTGTTGGGGCGGGGCAAGGCGCGCGTGGTGTTTGGGCTGCACATGGCCATGCAGCACGCACGCATCTTCCTTAACCTCGAAGACGGCCGGCGCCTCGCCATGCTGGAGCAGGAGAGGCTGAGCGTGCAGGTCAAGGTGAGCAGGAGAGGCTGAGCGTGCAGGTCAAGGTAAGCTTTGATCTCTTCCTGTGTTCTCTCCATTTCTCTTCACAACTCATTTCTCGTGTGCGATGCCCCAATCTCAGGTATTCCCTGCATCGACCCGTGTCAACGCCTCATTGGGCAATCTGAGGCTGTGCAACCTGCAGCTGCCACCATCCCACCCCTGGCGCTGGTTCTGTGACCTGCGGGACAAGCAGAGCGCCTCGCTGGTTGAGGTGAGCACATGGTGACCTGTGCTGCCGTGAGACGTGGGGGAGGGGGTGAGGCAGTGTTACTGTGTTACTCACGCTTGGTGAGCCACTCACGCTTCTCGTGCGGTCAGAGTGGTGAACGGAGAATCTGGCAGATGCTGGGTGCGAGGAGGAAAGGCAGGGTGAAATAGATTGGGGACGGGTGGGTGCTGGATGCGCCAGGGGAAACTGTTTTTGCTGTGAGAGGAGCTGAGTCAATCCATGCTGTCAGCTACTGGTGCCATCCTGCCTCTGCTCCCTTAAGCGAAGTAGGAAAGGTGTCCGCAGCTAATGAAAGAATGTCCTGCCTTTTTTTCCCTCTTACCCACTGCCTTCCCCTCCCCATCTGCCACGCTCCGTGCACTCCTGCCTGCCCCCTATCATGAGCAGATAAAGTACAACTCGTACAACCCCGACGACGATGACTACGAGGGCTACGAGTACAGCATTGATGGCAAGCTGTCTGCCGTGCGCCTCATCTTCCTCTACCGCTTCGTGCAAGAGGTAACGCATGGCCACCTGTCACAGGAGGTAGCACATGTGTGCAAACGCACTGCGATGTGTTATGCATAAACTCAACTCACCACTTGCTGCATGACGCCCCTACCCTCCCTCCCCCCTCCCACCCCCACCCCTCCCCCCCCCCCTTGGCAGTTCATGGCGTACTTCTGGGGGCTGGCAGCGCCGGGGGTGCGGCAGGAGATGGTGGTGCGCGTGGTGGACGCGGTGGGCGGCATCGAGCGGCGCATCCAGCAGTGGGAGGTGGCGGGCAGCAGCGGCATCCGCTACAACGTCTCCCTTGATGCGCCCATCCTCATTCTGCCTCGCACCACCGACAGCCAAGAGTCAGTTGCCCACCAACAGCCAAGAGTTGCTTTCACTTCCTGCTCCGTTTACACCTTCACACATTCTGCACTCACAGTCTGAGCGCTCGAGGGCATTGTCTCTCTTGAGTGCTTGCGCAGTGACTGGCATCGACAGTTGCAGACCCTCCCTCCCCATACGAACGCTGTGTGCTTTGCTGTGTGCTGTGTGGTGTGCGGTGGCAGGTTCATGCAGCTGGGGCTGGGGCACATGGGTATCAGGAGCAGCGTGGAGTGGCGTGGTGGCAAGTCCATTGAGGATGCTGGCGCTGTGCGCTGTGATGTGATTACAGTGGAGGTGAGATGTGATTACAGTGGAGGTGAGATGTGATTACAGTGGAGGTGAGATGTGTATTCAGAGTGCTGTATCTCCTCCGTTGTCTGATCTCGTGGTTTGCTTTCATGCTCCACCAATCCACCACCGCCGTTTGTCCATCCTCACGCCCCACGCTGCATGCCCCCATCGGCCTCTCGTGCCATGCTGTATCAGAGTCGCGATGTGAGCTTGCTGGTGGGAGCGGAGGGTGTGGCGGGGCCGCCAATGATAGAGCGCATGGCGGGGCTGACACTCACCATCCAGCGCCAGCTGAGAGACCTCTTCAAGAAGCTGCCCACCTACCAGCTCCACATCCACGTATGCCCCCCTGCCTTCCTCTTCCACCATCACACATGCACTGCTCGCCATGCTGCCCTTCTGTCTTCCTTGCTGTGCGTGCTCCCCTTCATACATCCTTAAGCCTCCATTGCTTATCGCACGCACCTGCATCCTTCCACCACCCCTTTTCTCCTCCCCCTCCCCCGCACGTGCATGGGAGCAGATGGGGGAGCTGAGGGTGGTGATGAGTCACCGCGAGTACCTCATCATTTGCGACTGCCTCTTCGCCAACCTCGCCGAGCCCCCTCAGCCCCCTCCCTACTTCCGCCTCCCCCCTCCCTCCTCCACCTCCTCCTCATCCGCCCAGCCCTCCCACCCCCCCCCTTCGGCCCGAGTCACGAGCCCCGCGTCGCCATCGTCCCCGCGCTCGCCCACGCCGCCATCCTCGCCACCCCCCGCTGCGGCCGTGGCGGGGGGGCATGCGGGCGAGGGCAAGGGGGCGCAGGGGGCACAAGGGGAAGGCGGGCAGGGGAGGGCAGGCGAGGTGGCGAAGCAAGGAGGGGCGGGAGGGGCAGGAGGGGGGGCAGGAGGGGGCCCTCCGGCGTTCACGTACTTCAGAGTGCTGGTGGACGTGCAGCACGTGCAGATGGAGCTGTTCACCGGCCACACCCGCGACTCCTCCCTCGCCCTCCTGCAGGTCAGTCCCTGCCTCGCCCTCCTGCAGGTCAGTCACTGCCCCGCCCTGCTGTAGCAGTGCAAGGCCGTGCTGCAGGTTGTCACATGCTGTGCGTCATGGATACTCCTCTGCCTCGTCTCCCCTCCCCCCACACACCTGTGCTCAGATCGAGGGGCTGTGGGTGGAGTACCGCACGAGCAGTGCGAGGGAGATGGAGGTGATGCTCTCTCTGCCCACCATGGCCATCATCGACCGCCGCCCCGCCACGCGCCAGGAGCTGCGCCTCATGATGGGCTCCGCGCTGCACGCCCACTCCCACGCCCACGCCCACTCCCATGCGCCGCCCGCCAACTCGGGGCACGGCGCAGTGCCGCCAGGGGCGAAGGCGGGGACGGCGGCAGATGAGGGCAGAGGGGGCGAGATGGGGGGGGGTTCGCCGCCGGTGGCGCTGAGCATGGTGGTGCTGAACTACTCGACTCGCCCCGCTGCGCGCGCCGTGGTGCTGCGCTTCCAGCGCCCGCGCGTGCTCGTGGCGCTCGACTTCCTGCTCGCCGTCACACACTTCTTCTTCCCCTCCCTCGCCGCCTCCTCCGGTCACGACACCGACCGCGACGAGTGCGACGACCCCGCCAGCCTGGCGCACGCTGTCGTGCTGACAAGTGGCACCACGCGACAGGCGGAGGCGGTGGTGACGGTGTCGCCGCAGCGACAGCTGATAGCGGAGGCGGCGGGGGTGGATGAGTACGAATACGACGGGTGCGGGGGCGTGCTGCGCCTCCTGCCCTCTGATGCCCTGGGGGGCACAGCGGTGCCGGCGGGCAAGCAGCAGGGCGAGGGCGTGGCAGGAGGGCCGGTGATAGTGGTGGGCAATGGGAAGCACCTGCGGCTCAAGAACATCACTGTCGAGGTGTGCCCAACTCACCCTGCCTCACCTCACTCACTGTGTGCCCAACTCACCCTGCCTCACCTCACTCACTGTGTGCCCAACTCACCCTGCCTCACCTCACTCACTGTGTGCCCAACTCACCCTGCCTCACCTCACTCACTGTGTGCCCAACTCACGTTCTGCCCGCTGCTGTTAAAGGAGGCTCACACCGCATGCATTCCCGGATCCTCATAACGTTCTGCCGCCTTCTCATCCATAACATAACTTGTCCACCCTCCCCTTCTTCCCCCCACACTGTGGCGGTGAGAGCACAGAGTGCGTGGGCGTGGGAGCAGAGTGTGTACCTGGGGTGTGACAGCAGCTTCACTGCCGACCCTGAGGACGGCGTTATCTGGCGCCACACCCCCCTTGCCAATGCCAATGCCAATGGCCCCCCCACTGCTGCGGGCGCGGGCAGCAGAGAGGGCAGCGGGGCAGATGCAGGAGGTGCAGGGGCGGGTGGGGAGGCAGAGGTGCCGCCGGAGCAGACCTCCTTCTCCTTTGACCTTCAGGTGGGGTGCCTGGGCTGTACCTTCAGGTGCCTGGGCTGTACCTTCAGGTGTGGCTGTTACCTCTTTACACCCGCATGCCTCCGCTCAACCCCACTATCTAACATGCCCCTCTTGTTCGAATCCCCTCCCCAACCTCCCCCCCGCCCCTCCCTACCCCGTTTGTCCCAGGCGGTGGGGCCGGAGCTGACGTTCTACGACAGCACCAAGTGGCCCGCGGGCATCCCCTTCCGCCCCGAAAGGATTCTGCGCGCCTCCTTTGACGTCAGCCTGCTGTGAGTGACGTCAGCCTGCTGTGAATGACGTCAGCGTTTTGTGAGTGACGTCAGCCTGCTGTGAGTGCTGCTCTCAGGGCTGCTCACAGGGATGCTCATATCAGCCTGCTGTGAGGTTTGCTGGGCTTGTGTGTGAGGGAGGGGTTTGGGCTTGCCTTGCACGCCTTCCACTCCATGCCTTGCAGCCCTGCCCCTCCCCACTCATTGCACAGTTCTTAGTGGCTCATCGCTGGACAGCAGCAGCAGGAGCAGCAACAGCAGCGGCCGCTGCCGCTGTGGGGCAACTCGCCTCACCTCACTTCCCCACCCCCACTCCCGCTCCTCTCTGCACGGGCAGATACGCGGCCAAAGGGGCGGACACGTGGGTGAAGGGGACGGTGAGGGGGCTGCTGGTGGAGACGGCGTCGGGGCTGGCGGTGGTGGAGCCGGTGGACGCCCACTGCGAGCGCGAGTGCGTGGCCGGCAAGACGTCCCTGGAGCTCGCCTGCACGGACGTGTCGCTGCGCCTGCCCTTCCACACGCTGCGCCTGCTGCACCGCCTGCACGCCGACACCGCTGCCGCCCTCAAGCTGGGCGGCGGGCCCGTGGCCGTGCGGTGCCGGCAGTTCGACCGCATCTGGAACTCCGGTGGGTGCCTCCGCATCTCGTTTGCTATGCCACGTGCAGTGCTCTCATCAGGAGCAGGCATGGCTTTGCTGCCCTTTGTTGTGCGCTGCCCACGCTTGCCCTCCTCCTCGTCTCACCCTGATCGTCAACCTCCTTTGCGCCTCTCCTCATCCACTCCCCGTGCTGGCAGGCACGGACTCAGAGGAGGGAAGGGCAGTAGGGGAGGGCGAGCAGCCCATCACGTTGTGGCGGCCGTGTGCGCCTGCAGGCTATGCCATCCTGGGCGACTGCGCCACCGTGGGGTGCGACATTTGTTTTGTTTACTCCTCAAACTTTATCCCATTATAGCTGATCTGAATTTTCCTCAGTAATTGTTTTGGGGCGAGCTAGGGCGAATGCACCGCTCTGAGGGGTGACCACTCGCCACTTGGCACTCACCACTGCGTGCTGCCCTCACCTGCACTGCGTGTTGCTCTCCTCCCTCTGCACCTTGTCTCCATGCTGCCCTGCCATTTTCGTTTCCTTCTTCACCTCCTCACCTCTTCTTTTGTATTTGCACCCCGCCCACCACCCCCTACGTGTGTGTGTGCGGCGCGTGGCAGGGCGGCGCCACCAGAGCACGCGGTGCTGGCGGTGAGCACGGCCTTCAGGCGAGTCAAGCGCCCCCTCGGCTTCTCCCTGCTCTGGTGCTCCCACGCGCCCGCTGCCGCCCCAGCACAGGGGGCCGCGGACGCGGCAGGGGGTGGGGAGGGAGGGGACGACTCGCACTGCCGCATCTGGCTGCCACTGGCGCCGCCCGGCTATGCAGCGCTGGGATGCGTGGCGGCTGTGGGGCGAGCGCCGCCACACGTTTCGACGGTGCACTGTGTGCGCTGCGACCTTCTCACGCCCTCCTCCCTCAGCGACTGCATCTTCTACCGGTGGGTGGGCCCTGCCTTGCCAAGCCATGCTGCCATGGTGCCATGCTCATGTAGCAACCGCATCTTCCTGCGCTACGCTCCCTCCTTGCTCTATGTCTCTCCCTTTTCTCTCCGCATCCTTCCTTGCGAGCTAGGTGATTCGTGGCCCAGCTAGGCAGACTTAGCTCCGGATGCTCACCCCTTGCCACTGCTCCCCGTTTCCCGCATGGCATGTTATCAGCCCGGGTGCCGGGTCGCCAATGAGTGACGCTAGCGGCACGGAGCGGGGTGGCGGCAGGGGGGGAGGGGCGAGCATGTGGGTGGTGGGCAACTCCATGCGCACCTTCTTCGCCTGCCAGGGCACGGCCCCGCCACCACCCGCGGTGCTGAGGGACCTGAGGGAGGATCTGCGCTTCCACCCCGCCACCACCGCTCCCGACCCCGACGATGCCGACCCTGAAGCCGCCTCTCAGTCCCCCACCTCCACCACGCTCACCCGCGTGCCCTCCGGCCGCGGAGACTCGCTCGCCCGCCTGCCCTCCTCGCGCTTCCAACCGCCCCTTGCTGCCTCCGCCTCTGCGCTGGCTGGTGCGGCGGGGGCGGCGGCGGCGCGGCCGTTTGTGCCGGCGGCGAGCTTTGAGCGCGTGTGGTGGAGCAAGGGGGCGGCAGGTGTGACAAGCCACGTGAGCTTCTGGCGCCCCGCGGCAGTGCCGGGCTATGCCATGCTGGGCGACTGCGTGGCCGACGGGTGAGGCAGCACCACACACGGGTCTTTGCCTTCAGTTGCATGCCTGCTCGCCTCACTCCCATGCTGCACGGCTGTGCGCCGTGACGCGCTATATGGACTCACTCTCAGCGCGCACTGCCCTCGCTCGCCCCCACCCCCTTCCCCCCTTGCAGCTTCGACCCACCGGACACGGGCTTGCTGCTTCTGGACGACCTGGAGTCGGGCCGTGTGGCGGCGCCCCTCAGCTTCCTGCACAAGCTCACCCTCGCTGCACCTGCCTGGCCCGACGAGGCGTCTGTGTGGTTCCCCCTGGCGCCCCCTGGCTACGTGGCGCTGGGCTGTGTGGTGACGCGCGGCCGTGAGCCCCCCTCTGCCGGGCTGAGCGTGCGCTGCGTGCGCGCTGACCTGCTGGCGCCCAAGGGCTTTGCCGGCCGCCCCGCATGGACCGTCAGTTTGCCGCCCAAAGGAGAGTCCGTCGCCAGCTTCTGGCCCGTCATGAACCAGGTGGGGCACAAAGAGCGGGCGCGTGGGTAAACGTTGCTGTGAGAGTGCGTTCATGACTTCCGCTTCCACCCTACAATGCGGTGCTCCATGTCTTACTATGCCACCTTCCTCCCCCTCTGTGTCCCCCACACCTCCCTGCTCTGAACCCCAACCCCCTGGGTGGCAGGCGGGCACGTTTCTGGTGCACAGCGATGCGCGGCGCCCGCCACAGAGGATGGGGTACGGGCTGGCGGAGCTGGAGAGGCCGGAGCGGCCCGACAACTTTGATGCCAACCTGCGCACGCCCCGCGTCTCCCTCACCCTCTTCGACGACGTCTCCGGCGTCGTGAGCCCTCCGCCCTTCCCTGCTGCTCCTTCTTCTCCTGCCTCCTCTGCTTTTCTGTCCCCTCTGCCCCCCTGGCCCCTGCCTGCCCCTCGTTGCCTTCCATGATCCCTGCCTTCTCTCGTCCATATTCCTGCTTGAAGTTTCACGCGACAACGACATGCCACCACTTGTCGCTCTGAACTGCATACTTCCCATGTCTGCCTGCGCTCCTCCCAACATGTGCTGTCTCCCCTGCCATGGCGGGTGTGCATGCATGGTACATGGGGCATGGGGGGGGGGGGTGTCTCAGATGGTGCCGTGGGTGGACTTGACAGTGGAAGGCATTCACCTGACGCTGCACGGCCGCCCACACGCGCTCAACGCAGTGGTGCTCACCTCTGTGGCGGCCTCGTCCTTCAACTCACACCTCGCCCTCTGGGAGCCGCTGCTCGAACCCTTCGACTCCATCTTCAAGTACCGTCCCTCCCCGCCCTCCCGCTGCCATGCCATGCCCCCGCTTTCCACTGCTCAACTTGCACCACTCTTTTTTGCTCTCCCTCGTCTGCCATTCTTGCCGCCCAATGTTTGCCACGCCTCTTTTTAGCCATGCGTTTGATTCCCCACATGCTGCGGGCCTGCTAAGCTGAGCGTCATGTGCTGCTTACCCCGTCCCACAGGTACGAGTGGGAGGGCGAGGGCAGCGGGGAGGCGGGGGCAGCGGGCAGTGTGCAGATGCGGGTGACGGCGACGACTGTGGTGAACGTCAACGTCACGCCCACCAGCGTGGACGCCCTCACTGCCGCCACCCACGGGTGGAGCAAGCTCGTGCAGCACGAGGCTGACGCCAGGCGCGCCCTGCTGCAGGTGAGACACGCCTGGGGCTGTGTGCGTGCAGCGATGTGTGTGTGTTAGATTATACTACTCTTTTGTATCTTGCATTGATCCTATAAACAGAGCATTGATCCTAGGATAGAGATAAGCACCCAAACTGTGTTTGGGTGCACAAACTAGGGTTAACCCTAGTTGGGGGTTGGAACCCAACCTTGGTCCAATTATTGGCCCCCAAGGTTGGGTTGGGAGATTATTGGCCCCCCCAATAATGTTGGCTCACTTTGGCCAACATTATTGGGACCCCCCAATAATTCTCCAACCCAACTTATTGGTGGGGGGCCAATAATGTTGGCTAGGTACCCAACCAACCCACCTTCCCTAGCTTCAACTATGTAAGCCCTCTTGATTCCTAATCAATTCAATGGTTCAATTCTAACTGTGTGTGCATGAAGCAATGTGTGTGCATGCAGCCATGTGGGTAAAGCACGATTATCCCCTTCAGATTCCTGCTGCTCTTCCCACTTCTTCCCTCTGTCTCACCTCCCTCTGTCACGTCGTCTCCTCAGGGAGCATCACCAGCCCCATCGTCAGCATCAGCAGCAGCGGCAGCAGCAGGAGGGGGTGGTGGGGAGGGGGCGGAGGAGGGGGGGGAGGAGGGGGGAGTGGCGGTGGACAGGGAGGACGCCCTGCGAGTGCTCGTGGACAACCGCCTGGGCGCGCCGCTCTACGCGCGCTCCGCCAAGGACGCCTTCGCCCACCTGTACACGCTGCCGCCCGGCCACGTGTCGTCGGTGCCGCTGCCGCCCTTCCAGTTCCCCGACATGCTGCGCCCCTCCGCCACCGCCGGTACCGGCAGAAAGCGCCGCCACAGCACACGGCGCTTCATGGCTCTTCGCCTCATTGAGGGGCTGGTGAGGCACCCTGGGGGGGCTGGTGAGGCACACTGGGGGGACGGGTGAGGCACACTGGGGGGACGGGTGAGGCACACTGGGGGGACGGGTGAGGCACACTGGGGGGACGGGTGAGGCACACTGGGGGGACGGGTGAGACACACTGGTGTTGGTATTAGCCCTCAATCTCACATTTTGCACTTGTACTTTTATATCCTAGTTTAGTGTAGTTTGCACTTTGTGTTTGGTTGGGTGTACACCCACATCCCAACCAAACCCAAATGTAATCTCCAAGCAATCTCCAACCCACCAATTGGAGATTGCCTTGGGATTACCCTTGATTCCCTAGGATTGCCCCCTGATTCCCTCCTCATCCATACCTTGCTCATTCCTGATGTACTTAAAGAGCTTTGAGCTCACTACTAATGTATCAGTTCTAAGCCTAAGTTCTGACAACTGGGGGGACGGGTGAGGCACACTGGGGGGACGGGTGAGGCACACTGGGGGGACGGGTGGGTCGGGCTTTGGGGGTGGGTGAGGCGTGTGCACACGGGTTCAAGATTTGATTTTAACGATTGGGCTGGAGAGATGACACGGTGGGCAGGGTGAGTTTGGATGGGAGACGATGGATGGAGGTATGTAATATGTATGGGTGCCCAGTGGTGGGCTGCTCACCGCACTCACTCTCCACCTTCCTCTTCGGCTCGTCCTTCCTGCCCCACCAAGCTCCCCCCTCTCTTTGTCCTTACAATCTCAAGTCATTCCCCACCGTGTACACCTGCCATGCCCATGTGCAACCGTCTCACATGCCCATGCGTGCCCCGCCCTTATGACTGCATGGCTGCAGGACCTACCGGGCAGCGAGTTGAACGGGGAGGACTTCATGTGCAAGCTGCGCGTGGCGGAGGCGGGCGCCCAGCCGCTGGTCAAGGGGCAGCAGCTGCCACAGACTGCCCGCTCTCGCGCCATCCGCCCCGCAGGGGGGCTGGCATGCCCGCATGGGCGCGAGGGCATGGGGAGCGCCATGCCACGAGGAGGGGCGCATGGCGGAGCGGGAGAAGGGGGAGAGGGCGGGAGAGCAAAGCTATGGCGCGTGCAGTGGAACGAGGTGTTTGTGTTTGAAGTGCCGGCACATGTATGTGTCTCTGCTTGCATGCACATCACTGCACTGCACGCACGGACTTCACTGTACTCATGCGCACCACTGTACACACACATATCACTACTATGTAACTTTCCATGTGCATGTATCCTCATGCAAATATGTGTGTATGCTCGTGCACACGTGCGTTCTGGCACTCCCCTCTCCTGCCCACCTGCCTGCATGCTGCTGTGCGCTCAAGTCTCCCTTCTTGCTGCTGTGTGCCATGTGTGTTCCCCTCCCCCTCCCCTGTGGTGTGGGGCATGGCATGGCATGGCATGGCATGGCATGGCATGGCATGTCATGGTGTGGGTGGGTGCGTGAGTGGGAGCAGAAGGAGTCACGGTTGGAGGTGGTGGTGAGCAACCAGGCGGCCAATGCGGGGCGAGGGGCCACGGTGGGCACGGCGGCTGTGCCCATGACTGCTGCTGCCGCGCCCACCCTCTCCGACTGGGCTGCCGTCACCGACGCCCTCGGCATTGGCGGCCTCCACCCCGCCTCCCACGCCATCCAACACACGCTGCTGCTGCACCCTCCCAAGAGGAAACAGCAGCAGCAGCAGCAACAGCAGCAGCAGCAGCAACAGCAGCAGCAGGTACGACATGAGGATTCTGAGTTTCAGCCACATTGAACTGCCATCTGACTTGTGCTCACCTGTTGTTCCTCTCTCCACCTGCCACCACCCTGCCCGCCACCTGCCCCTGCGCGCGCAGGCCTCCCCTCGCCTGCGCATTGCGGCGGTGTTCTTCACGGTGGGCCCCAGCGGCCATCTGCTGGCCCACCAGCAGCAGCAGGAGCGGGTGGTGGCGGAGGCGGGCCAGGAGCAGCCGGACTGTTTGATCCAGCTGGCGTGCCGCCCGGACGGCGAGTGGTGTTGGGTGCGCTCCATGGCCGGCATCATCACGCTCGCGCTTGCCCTGGAGGGCCGCCCCGTGGCGGCGGAGCTGGGCGTGCGGGGGGGCCTCAAGTGCGTCACGCTGCGCTCGCTGGTGCTGCTGCGCAACGCCACGGACGTGCCGGTGGACGTGTGTGTGTGCCCCTTCGTGCTGCTCGACTTTGCGGACGAGGACGCGGAGGAGGAGGTGGAGGAGGAGATGTATGAGAACCAGCGTTACCAGCCCATGCTGGGGTGGGGCTCGCTGTGGCCCGGCCACCTCATGCCCGGCGACCCCGCGCGCTTCTCTGCGCTGGACCTCTCCCACGCGTGCCAGGACCTGCCCGAGGCGTGTCCGCGCGGGTGGGCGTGGGTGGGAGCGTGGCAGCGCGACCAGGCAGCACCGGGCGACATGGAGGGGTGGGTGTACGCGCCTGACTTCCGCTCGCTGGCGTCGCCTGATGCGCTGGCCAACGTGGCGCACAGCAAGGGCCCCTTTGACTTTGTGCGCCGCCGCCGCTTCACACGCACAAGGCGCCGCCTGCCACGCCCCTCGGGTGCGCCCAAGGAGCACGTGCGCACGGCGCTGGGGACACTGGCCCCTGGGGACTCCCTGTCGCTGCCCTGGGGCTGCCTCTCCCCTGGCTCCGACTGGTGCCTGCAGGTTCGGCCCAAGGCTGCTGCAGGCTCGGCAGGCAGCAGCAAAGGGAGTGAGAAGTACGGGTGGAGCCGGCTGGTGCCTGGGGCGTCGGGCAGCAATGGTGGGGAGGGCAGTGCGGGGGCGGCGAGCAGGGCGGAGGCGGCACGGCGGCAGCAGCTGGCGACGGCGTTTGTGCTGCCGGACCTGATGCGGGCGGCGTCGTGGGAGAAGGGCGGCAAGCGTGAGGAGCTGCTGCAGTGCCGTGGCACCCGGGGATGCTGGTGGTTCTGCCTCGAGGCGGACGGTGTGAAACTGCAGGGCGGGGAGGGCGTGGGGGCGGCGGAGGTGGTGGACTGGCGGGTGACGCTGCGGGCGCCACTGCAGCTGGAGAACCGGCTGCCGTGCAGTGCGGAGTACTTCGTGTGGGAGAAGCCCAGCAGCGGTGCAGCCCAGGGGGCGGGCTGGGGCCATGCGGGCAGCACGGCGGGCGTGGGGGGGGCATCACGGTCGGTGGCGCGGCAGCATGGCGTGGTGGGGCCGGGCGAGGCGGTGCATGCATACACCATTGACATCCGCTGCCCCACACTGCTCACCTGGCTGCCCCAGGGCGGATGGAAGCAGGAGAAGGTGCGTTCAGTGCTGCAGTCCTTGCTGCTGCCGGGCTGTTGTGTGCCTATTGGTATTGCTTCTAAGTGCCTTACTCCATGTGCCTTGTTGCGCCCTCCCCTGTGTGCTCTTTGCGTTGCATCTGTGTTTGTGCCCCACACACTTCCTTTCCCCTCCCTTGTGTGAGCGCACCGCACAGGACGCGGTGGTGCTGTCGGACCCACTCACCCACGAGGTGGCGGGGGGCTTCTGGATGACCAACGTGCAGAACAAGCGGTGAGCGCGGGAGAGGGGGAGAACAAGCGGTGAGCGGGGAGAGGGGGAGGAGCAAGTAATGAGCGGGGAGCAGGCAGAGCAAGTAATAGGAAGGGGGGCGCCAGAGGAAGGATGAGGTGTGCCAGCGAGGCTCGGAGAGTATGCGTAGCACGCAGGCCATCCGTCCTTTTCTTTCTTGCAGCTTTCAGCCAACTCATTCGCTGCACCTGTCATATCCGTGTCAGTGCTGCATTCACCCTTTCATTGCACTTGTGCTCGTCCCCTCTCCCCTGCAGGCGGCTGCACGTGAATCTGGAGGTGAGTGGCGGGGCATCAGAGGCATCAGCGCGGGTGGTGCGGGTGTTTGTGCCCTTCTGGCTCGCCAACCACTCCTCCATGCCCCTCGCCTGCCGCATCGTTGAGATCGAGCCGCCCCCGGGCGCCACAGCAGCGGCGGCGGCGGCAGCGGAGTCGCTGTGGCAGATGCCCACGCGCTCGCTCTCCTCGCGCGCGCTCAGCCTCGCCGGCTCAACCCGTGAGCCGGTGGCGGCGGCGGCGCCGGTGGTGGGGGCGGGGGCGAGCAAGGTGGTGCGCAGCCTGGAGGACATTGAGGAGGCGCCGCAGCAGCACGCTGTGATGCTGTCGCTGCCGTCCGTCGCCAACGTGGGGCTCGCCGTGGCGCTCTCCAAGAATGGTGTCTTCAGCTCCGCCATCCCCCTCACCGCCTTCCAGGATAAGGTGCCTCCCCTTCTCCCATATCATACAAAAGACTATTCTGACAATTGGTGTGTCTGAGGGTGGTCTGCGGCTGTTCTTTTCCATGTAGTGCCTGTATGGCAGCGCCCTTCTCAACAACATGTGTGCTTACTCCCCCTTCCCTCGACTCGTTTCTTGCTTTCATCTGCCCACCTCTCCACCCGTCGCTCGTCCCTGCGCCATGCTGTGTGCGTGGTGGGGCGGGGAGCAGATGGAGCGGGCGGACCTCAAGGCGGTGGATGCCGCAGGCAGCTATCTGCGCCTCTCACTGTCCCTCGACATGTCCTCACTGCGCTATGAAGGCACCAAGGTACCGGCCCCCTGTACCCCCACCCTCTTCACGTGCACCACGTGCCTCTTTGCATGCCCCTCCACCTGCCTCTCCACCTGCTGCACTCACCTCCCCCTCCACACAATGCACCTGCTCTCGCGCTCCAAGCAATCACGACCGCGTGCATCCTGTGCACCCCCATGCGTGTGTGTTGGCCGGCAGGTGATTCGCCTGCAGCCGCACACAGTGTTCTCCAACCACACGGGGCGTCCGCTGCTCATCAGGCAGGCGGGCGGCAACATCGTTCGACACCTGGCGCCTGCTGATTCGATGAAGCCCATCGTGTGGGAGTCCATCTGGCTGGCTGAACACTTGCAGGTGGGTGCCGTGTGGGCAGCTAGGTGCCACGTAGGCAGCTGGGTGCCATGTAGGCCGCTGGGTGCCACGTAGGCACCTGGGTGCTGCATAGACAACGTGTGTGTCGTTGATGAACGGATTCTGGCGTGGTGTCTACGGGGTGCCATATGATGTTTCTGCGTTGTGGGACCTGGATTCCATGCCTCATGTGTCCCCACACTCCCTCCTCCACCTCCTTTGTGGGCCCATGCTTGTGTTTTCCTTCCCCTCTGCCTGCCGCCTCTTGCTCCCTTCTCCTCCCTCATCCATCTCCCTCCTTGTGTCCTGCTCTCACCCTCAGGTGCGCATCGACGGCTGTGATTGGAGCCGCCCATTCTCCATCGACGGCGACGGCAGTGTCTTTGTTGTCATGCGCCACGCCGTGCAGCCCAACCGCCCTCCCTCCATAGGGCGGGCGGCGTGGGACGGCAGTGGGCGGCGGGGGCGGGAGCTGCTGCTGGCGGATGTGGTGGATGGCGCCAGTGCATGCCGTTACCATGTCGTCTTCACACTCGCTCCGCCCTATGGGCCCTACAAGTCAGTCTCCTCCTTTTCATGGACCCTGCATCTCATCTCACTTCAATTTCCGGTGTACAATCAAGTGTGGCCCTGCTTTAGGTTCGCTCAATTGCTTCAAGTTCATTCTTGATGCAACTATCACCTAGGCTATCAAACATCGCTGCCCTTCCTTCCCTCGCCCAGCTCCTCTTTCCATGTCAATCCGCAACCCTGTCTCGCCTGCCCACCCCCCTGCCCCTCTCAGGATAGAGAACCGTTCGCAGCTGTTCCCGGTGCGGTACCGGCAGGCGGGGGCGGGGGACGAGGCGTGGGAGGCGCTGGCGGTGGGGGCGGCCAAGTCGTTTGCGTGGGAGGACGGCCGGGGGCTGCGTCTGCTGGAGCTGATGGTGGACGGCGCGCACTCCTCCACGGCGCGCCGCGTCGCCATCGACGACCCCGCCGTGCTCGAGCCCGCCGCCTACGCCTCCGGCCGCCCGGTTGCGCCGCTGCTCGTCACCGTTGCCAGGGAGCCCGCGCCGTCGGGCGGGGGGTGTGTGATGCGCGTGTGCCTGCATGACTGGCGCCCCTCCGACCCCTCCCTCGTGCACCTCGCCCTCTCCCTCACGCCCTCCTCCCTCCTCACTGCCCCTCCTCCTTCCCTCCCTGTGGGGAGCGAGGGGTCGAGCGCGGTGGCGACAGCAGAGGGGGCGGGGGGCGGAGGGGAGCGGAGGGTGGTGGTGGTGGTGGAGGTGGAGGAGTGCGGCGTGTCGGTGGTGGACGCCACGCCCGAGGAGCTGCTCTACATCTCCATGACCGGCGCCCTCCTCTCCCTCCACTCCACCGCCCCCTCCTCTGCCCGCCCAGGCACCTCGGGGGGGAGTGGGTCGGGTGGGGTGAGCCGGGTGAAGCTGCAGGTGGGGCACCTGCAGATCGACAACCAGCTGGCTGTGACGGCCATGCCTGTGTTGCTGGCACCTGAGGATCCACCTGGGGTGGTGCAGCCATACGTGCTGAAGCTCACTGTGGCAATGCGCCCCGCACGGGACGAGGATGAGCAGTCCTTCCCCTACATCGGCCTGCAGGTACTGCCTCCTCACCTCACACACGCCTCCATGCCATCATCTTCTGCGCTCTCTTCCTAACCTCTCGCATTGCCCTCTCCCATGACCCGTTCTGGCCTGGCCTGTTGAAGCCCCAATTTATTCCAAGAATGTGGTATCCCCCTCCCCCACCCCCCTCTCCCCACCCCCTCTCTGCCAGCTACCGAGTGCGGCATGGCTGGTGAACATCCACGAGCCAATCATCTGGCGTCTGGCTGACATGGTCAAGCGCCTCTCCGCCCACCGCCTCGACGCTCCCCCGCAACCCACCTCCGTCTCCCTCGACCCGCGCGTGCATGTCGGGTGAGAGCAGCATGCATGTTGGGTATTCACGTCTCACGTGTTGACCTGATCTGCCTGGAACACTGGTTGAAAGACGAATCACCAAAACGGTGCATGTAACATGCGGTGAAGAATGGTGTACCCACTGAAAGGCTGCGTGTGATTGGGTTTTCATTCTGCTTGCTGCATTCCGCACCTCCACCCCACCCGTACCCCTGTGCATGCGCGTGTGTGCGTGGGCATGGGCAGGCTGCTGAACATCTCGGAGGGGCGGCTGAAGGTGACGATGGCCATGTCGCCGCTGCACCGCCCGCGCTACATGATGGGCTTCTGGACGTCCGTGCTCACCTCCATGGGCAACACCGATGAGATGCCGGTGAGCCGCCATGGGCAACACCGATGAGATGCCGGTGAGCATCACACTGCTGCCCACATGACAGTGAGAGTGTGGGAGTGATATGCACGTGAGGTGGCATGGCTACAATGACGCGCAAGCCATCTTGTTTTCACAATGCTTGCCATCCCCTTCAGTGCAACCTCTCTCACTCAACTTCCCTCACATGAAATCTCAACACTTCCATCCTCCTCACCGTCCCCCCTCTCTGTGCCGGCCAGATCCGGCTGTCCCCGCGGGTGCGGGAGGGGGTGGTGTTGCGGCGCAGCCAGGTGTGGGCGGAGGCGTGGCGCAGTGTGAGCAACGACCTGCTGGCGCAGCCGTTCCGCCTGCTGTCGGGGCTGGACGTGCTGGGCAACGCCAGCAGCGTCGTGGGGCAGGTCAGCAAGGCCGTGGCGGGCATCAGCATGGACCGCGCCTTCATCCGCGCGCGCCACAAGCACGACGCCAAGGCGGCGGTGGGCTCGCTGGGCGACGGACTGCGCGAGGGCGGGGAGGCGCTGGCCAAGGGGCTGTTCCGCGGGGTCACGGGCATCCTCACCAAGCCCGTGGAGGGCGCAAGGGACGGCGGCGTGGAGGGCTTTGTGGCGGGCGTGGGGCGCGGGCTGATCGGCGCGGCGGCGCAGCCAGTGAGCGGCGTGCTGGACCTGGTGAGCAAGACCACGGACGGCGTCAACGCCGAGCGCGCCCGCCTCTCCGCCGCCATCACCGCCAAGCTCGCCCTCCGCCGCCGCCGCCTGCCGCGTGCCATCCGCGGCGACCACGTGGTGCGGCCGTATGATGAGTATGCGGCGAGGGGGCAGGCCATCCTGCAGCTGGCGGAGTGGGGCGCGCTGACGGGCGCGAGCGTGTTTGACATCCGCGAGAAGGGCAAGTTCGCCCTGAGCGACGCCTACGAGGACCACTTCCACCTGCCGGCACGCCGCATCCTCATGATCACCCACCAGCGCACCATGCTGCTCGAGGTGCGTGGGGGGAAAGGCAAGGTGTGGGGGGAAAGGGGGCGGGGTGGGAGGGAGGACGGAGGGAGCTGGTGTTCGTTAGGTGCACGGAGATGGGGGGAGTGGGGAAGAAGGGGGGGAGGGGCGAGATGGCTTAAGGGGACAGCTGGTGTTTGTTATGAATGCACGAGATGGGTTGAAACAATCTGTTGAAGGCACAAGGGGCGAAAGGGTTAAAGCATGTGAAATTTGAAGGGACACATGGCACAAAAGGTCTTAGTGGGAATGGATCACATGGCTGAGTGCTTCGTGAGAACTCTGATCCAACATGTGCTGTGGTCCAACATGTGCTGTGGTCCAACATGTGCTGTTATCCAACATGTGCTGTGATCCAACATGTGCTGTGATCCAACATGTGCTGTGCACCCCTCCCTCTGCCTTGGCGTGTGCGCATGCCACAGCAACCGGGCGGCGGAGCGCTGGCGGGGGGGCGCAAGCCAGACCTGACGAGGGAGGCGTGCAGCATCGTGTGGGCCGTGACTTGGGGCGAGCTGCTGTCGCTGGAGGTCATGCGCGGCCGCGATGAGCCGCCCTCCGCCCCGCCGTCACGCGTGGTGCTGCATCTGCGGGAGTGGTCAGCGGACGTGCGGCTGCTGGACGCCAAGGAGATTGCTCGTGTGGTGCTGTGCCAGGCGGGCACGGAGCAGGCACAGCAAGTGCGAGACGCCATCCAGCGCGCCCTCGACCAGTTCGGCCCCGATCGGGCCACCGTCGCTGCTCAGGTAAGGCTGCTGTCTGTGACAGCTTAGGTCACACCACTGGACTTGGCAGAAGTAAGAGAGGTTCCAGAATGTGATGAAATTTTAACTCCCAGAATTCATCATCCAGCCAGTCACCTGGGTGTGTGCGTCACAACTACTCGCCCCCCCATCCTCTTCCCTGCCCTCCCAGATGCGCAAGCGGCGGCAGGAGAGTCGGCCGTACACGGGCGCGGGGGCGGGGGCGGCATCGGGGGCAGCGCTGGGGCTGCTGGCGGGGCCAGCGGCGCCGGTGGTGGTGCCGGTGATGGCGACGTTTGGAGCGCTGGTGGGCGGCGCGGGGCAGGTGATGCTGGAGGCCGACAGCCACGGCGACCTCGCCTCCCCCTCCGCGCGCCACCGCCCCTCCCTCGCTGCTCCTGCCTCCGGCCCCGCTCGGCCTCGTGCCATGACGGGCAGAGGCAGCTCTGGGGACGTGGCAGGGGCGGACGTGAATGGGCCGCCTGCCGTTGTCGTGAAGGCATTCAAGCTGATGTGGTGGGACAAGGTGAGAGGCATTCAAGCTGATGTGGTGGGACAAGGTGAGAGGCATTCAAGCTGATGTGGTGGGACAAGGTGAGAGGCATTCAAGCTGATGTGGTGGGACAAGGTGAGAGTGGTGGGACAAGGAGAGAGGCATTCAGGCTCACTTAGCTGCAGGGTGTGCATGTGTGTGAGCTGATGTGGTTGCCCCCTCGCCCTTGCCCCCTCCTCCTCGCGCCCCACCTCCCCGCCCCCCTCCTTCCCTCCCCCCCAATGGTGCAGGGAGCGGTGTGGAGCCAGAAGTTCCCGGTCTCCATCTGGCGCCCCATCCTGCGCCCGGGGTGAGTCAGGGCACCACTGATGGCACGTGGGGTCAGTGCGAGCAGCACGGTGGGATGAGTGCGATTTGCACGGTGGGATGCGTGAGGGCAGCATGGTAGGGTGAGTGAGAGCAGCAGCGGCCAGAGAATAAAGTAAGCTTTGCTGACAGTAACGTCGAGTCCCTCGCCACTTGTTGTGTCTATGTTGCCTTGTTCATTCTCCCTCTTTCTACCTCTGCTCTCTCCCTCAACATTGCCTGGTGCTGCCTCAAACCTTGTGTCCCCAAGCTTTCCCTTGCCCCCGCGTGCTGCACCACGGCAGGTATGTGTCGGTGGGGGACGTGGCAACACCGGGGTACGACCAGCCGGTGCGCAGCACCATCTATCTCGACACCGGCGCCGGCAACTTCGCTCCGCCACTCGGCTTCGATCTGGTCAGCCATCTCTCCGCTCTCCGCTCGCTGCACTGCGCGATGCTTGCTCCTTGCCTCAACCCTTTACCCACTCACGCTTTCCCCCCTGCTGAAAGGAGGTCACAAAGAAGGCCAGCCACGTCACCTCCTTTGTAAATTAAGCCCCATTCTTCCCCCCACCCCGTCGTGTGCGCTTGGGCAGGTATGGCGGGACACGGACAGCGGGGCGCGCACGCCGGTGACGATCTGGGCGCCGAGGGCGCCGGAGGGGTATGTGGCGGTGGGGTGCGTGGCGGTGCCCGACTACTACGAGCCTGACCGCAGCGCCGTCGCGTGCGTGGCGGCGGGCGCAGTGGGTGCGGCGGAGCTGGGGCGGCTGCCCATCTGGCGCGACCGCAAGGGCGCTGCGCTGTGGAAGTGCAGCCTCTGGCAGGTGCACAACGCCGCTCGCACCTTCCTCGCACGGCGCGACCATGAGAGCCCACCACCAGGCATGGCCTTTGATGTGAAGGTGGAGGACACTCACACAGATGCACGCAGTGCCACCTCCGTGCACACAGGGTAGATGCTCACATGCTTTGATCTCTCCACATCTACCGTAAGCTCCTCAAATTGATGGGTGAAAACATTTAGGTGCATTCCACAAACACTGTATCCTAACCCGAGCAGTCAAAACGCATGAACTATAGAACTGCAGAGCAGTCATTATAAATGTGAGTTCGAAAAAGTCCTGCTTCCTGAATAATGATGTAACACGGCCCATTTTTTTATGTTGGCCAGTAGTAGACCAAAGTAGTAGGCCATATATGACCTCTTACCAGTGCCTCAGATTCACTTTTAGGGACGTTTAAGCATCAGGGTCTCAGTAAGTGGCTACAGCGGAATGAGTTGCATTAGAAGGATTGGGGTACATATTCCTACCTCTAACAGTAGAGGTAGGCCCCTGCGGTAGAAGTCGCAACAGAGGAGGACCGAGTAGACCTCCACGAAACAGCTCCAGAACCTAGGCTGAAACAGTAACCCTGCGTAGACCTCTGAGTCTCAACGTCGTCAGCATAGGAGGAGTCGCAGTGACCGGTGAGTACAACTGGCTGTGTCCCTCCAAGTACAAGCCCCATGTCTGACGTCGCGCCGAGGTACTTCGCCACCCTCTTAGCCGCCGCCCAGTGAACAGGACGGTGTCTCCCAGTCGCAACAAAGCGAGAAAGGATGCTAAGAGGGAAGGCGAGGTCCGGGCGAGTGCACGTCATCAGGTACATGAGGCAGCCCACTAGCTCTGCGTAGGGACCACTGGGCTCGAACGGCTCGTCAGGAAAAGGCCCAGTGAGTCTGTGGTCTACAGCAAGAGGAGTGGGTGTAGGAGAAGAGTCCTGAAGCCCGAACCGCTGAAGGACCTGCTGCACCATGTGTGACTGAGTCAGAGTGATGGTGCGAGCGGCTCTGTCCCTGGAGATCTGCAGGCCAAGGTAGCGGCGCAGTTCCCCAAGGTCAGTGCAGGTGTGTCTCTTCTGCAGTTCGGACTTCACCTCCGCCAGTGCAGCTGTGTCGGCTGTGGCAAAAACCAAGTCGTCAACGTAGACCAGAACGAAGAAAGGTGTGCGCCCACGACGAACAAACAGCGACGGGTCGGCGGAAGACGGCTCAAACCCGAGGTCGGAGAGAGTAGAGCGGAGAGTGTCGTGCCACTCACGGGGTGCCTGACGGAGACCGTAGACCGGTCGTCTGAGGCTCCACTGGGTCCCAGGCGGGAAAGTGCCAGTGAAGCCCGGAGGACGACGCAGCCAGATCTCCTCGTGTAGGCGGCCCTGGAGGAAGGCAGTTAAGAAGTCAAGAGAGTGTAGCTCGTAGTCTCTCTGCGCTGCTACGTGCAGTAACACCCGAAGAGTGGTCATCTTCGGGGTGGGCGCGAAGGTCTGAAAGAAGTCAACTCCCTCACGCTGACTGAACCCTCTAGCCACGTAGCGTGCCTTGAAGACTGGGGGAGATCCCGGCGGCCAATTCACCTTGAAGATCCACAAGCCATCAACGATGTTCGCTCCTGGGGGGGGAACCTCGTCAACGTAAGTGCCTGTGGACCTGTAGGAGGCCATCTCTGCGTCCATGGCAGCTCTCCACTAAGAGGCCCAAGGCCCTGACACTGCCTCAGCGTAAGTGCGAGGAGTAGGTATGTCAGGAGCGTCGGGGTCTCCCTCAGGAGCAAGGAGCATGGCACAGAGATGAGGCGAAGCAGCTGCCAGGAACTCTAGGACGTCACAGCCAAGGGCAGACTCACCCCCGGCGGACAGAGGACGGACAGGAGGAGCGGCCACAACACGAGTGGCGTAGTCAAGGCGACGCGTAGCAGTAAAGTCAGTGACAGTGGCAGTGAGGACCGCGACGGAGGAAGGAGAGGCACGAGGGTCTGTAACAAGAGAGGCGAGAACACGAGAGAGAGTGGGGCGGTACGTGCGGTAGTAGTCAGTGACCGGAGTGGACAGGGAGGCAGTGAGGGACGACTCAGGCGGACGGGGAAGAACAGACTGAGGAGAACGAGGAGGACTATGACAAAACAACACGGTACGGAGGTCGGTGACAGGTGACGAGGGATGAGCACGAGGAGATTGAGGCGCCCAAGTGTGGGCGAGAGGAGAGGGAGACGGAGGAGACTGAGAACGAGGGAACACAGCCGGAGCTGAGTCCGGAGGAGGAAACGTAGGACCGAACACAGGAGGAGAGGAGGGGAGACCAAGAGTTCGAAGGCCAGTAACAGGGGGCTCCGGCTGCTGCGGCTACTGCAGCTGCTGCTGCTGCTGCTGCTGTGGCGGGGGCCCCTGCTGCTGCTGCTGCGGCTGCTGCTGCTGCTGCTGCTGCTGCCGCCGCCGCCGCCGCTGCTGCTGCTGCTGCTGCTGCCGCTGCTGCTGCTGCTGCTGCTGCTGCTGCTGCTGCTGCTGCTGCTGCTGCTGCTGCTGCTGCTGCTGCTCTCGCTGCAACTCCAACCTCTCACGCTCCACCCATTGCTGAACCTCCAACCTCTCACTCTCCACACGCTGCTGCTCCTCGCGCGCAAGACGAAGACGGGCCTGGTGTCGAGTCGGGTAGGGGTGAGGAGGAGGAGTGGTGTCAGGAGACGACGAAGAAGAACCGGCTTCACCCTTGACAGGACCCGGCTGAGCACCCCCAGAGCGAGTGCCCCCCGCTGCAGCACGACCAGTACCTGTAGGAGGTGTACCCGCACCCCCAGTCGTGGTGCCTCCAGTGGCACCAGCACCAGCCCCAGACTCTCCAGCTCCAGAAACACCACCAGCTCCAGCACCACCACCAGCTCCAGTACCCTCGGAACGGGCAGCCGCGGCAGGTGCACGCTCAGCGCCAACGCCAACACCCCTAGAATGGGCGGCTCCTGTAGGTGCACGAACAGCTCCAACGCCAGCACCCCCAGAACAAGCACCGCCAGAGCCCTCGCCTCGAGCACCAACACCCTCAGAGTCCGCAGTGGCCGGTAGAGGAAGTGCTAGCGGCTGCTGCAGAGGCTGTGAGGACGACTGTGGGGAAGGAGGAGAGACCTGGGGGGGTACCGAGGGGGGGGGGAGTAGCGTGGGACACACCAGACGGAGCGGGAACAGGGGGGGGTACCGGAGGAGCAGGGGCGGGAGGAGGAGGAGCTGGAGCCAGGAAGAGGGGAGGGGGGGGAACCGGGAGACCTCGACAGGGGTACCTGACGTAGTAGGGGACGGACTCGTCAAAACGGACGTCACGAGAGTCAAAGAACCGGTGGGAGGGAGGGTGGTAAAAGGTGAAGTCAGAGGAGTCCTCTGGGAAACCAAGGAAGACACAGGGGACGGCGCGAGGTGAGATCTTGTCCGCAGAGGTGTCGCGGACAAGAGCCAAGCAGCCCCAGACACTAAACCTCGACGCAACACCAGGAGACCCTGTCCAAAGACTGGTCGGTGAAGCCCCTGGCCGAGAGACGCGAGGCCAGAGGTTCAGCTGGTGAGCGGCGTACCGAGCCGCGTAGGGCCACAGAAAATGGGGCGCGCGAGCGTGGAACATGGAGGTGCGAGCGATCTCCATGACCAGGCCCAGCAACCCCATTCTGCTGTGGAGAGTCTGGAAGAGTCCACGACTTGGTGATGCCCTGCTCGGCACAGAATCTGGCGAGAATGCCGGAGCGAAACTCACCCCCACGGTCGGAGTGGAGACAACTGACACGACGACCTCGAGTACCCTCGGTGGCGAGCAGCCACCGGATCAGCGTAGAAGTCACGTCGGACTTCTTCGCCAAAGGGAACACGGTGGTGTACCGAGAGTAATCGTCAACGACCACCAGAAAGAAACTCTCCCGCTCAGGGCCAAGGCGGGGAGCGGGGCCCCAGACGTCTAAGTGGAGTGTCTGGAAGGGCTCGGTGGCCGGACGAAGGGAGGAGGAGTGGGGGGTGGCGCGCAGCCGACCCTGGACACAAGGACCGCACGGAGGAGCTGGGGACGGCGGGAGCGGTGGGAGGACTCGGTGGAGGCCTAAGACAAGACGCTGACTGGACATAGCGCGGAGACGAGGGAGGGACGGGTGACCAAGGCGGTGGTGCCAGAGGAGGGAGGGGTGGGCAAGCGACCGACACGAGCACGACGCAGCAACTACACCTGACACAGCAACCTGATTGGACGCGGCTACCTGGTGGGACGGAGGAACCTGACGGGGGTCGGTGTGGAGGGTGCGGAACCTCTCTGATACCATCTCAGTAAGTGGCTACAGCGAAATGACCCACTAATGGCTAGAATATTTGACACAGGGTCCCTATGTGAAAAAGGCTGAAATTCAATGTTACTAAAACAAAAAGTATGATTTTTCAGGGTGTCCTAAAAGTAATTGATTTTGAAACTCTCTATAACTTACGTATAAGTGCAGACCTTATATGTCAGCCGCGAGACTCAAACCGGAGACCTTAACACTCAATAGCGCATTCACAAACAACTGAGCCAGCTCAGGCTGTCGACTTTGGAGCTTCTATCTATCCGTGCGTCAAATGTTGAAAGATGGTTCCCAACTAGTAATTCAGTTGTTTTACAGCAGGGATTCGAAATGTGCATTCACTGTACACTTCAATAAAAGGCTGGAAAATCAGTCCCCTTAGAGAAAAAAGGCTGGAAAATCAGTCTCTCTAAAATCTGAACACTGGAAAATCAGTGTAGGCTTAAATATACCCTGAAAATCAGGATTTTCAGGGTTTTTTTCCTGATACCAGAGGGCATGCCTCTTACGGTATGTGCATAATACGTAGTGTTAGAACAGGCACTCAGATTGGTTTCAGTGTACCCTGACCCCATCAAGGTTTTACCCAGGGCCTCAGATTCACTTTTAGGGACGTTTAAGCATCAGGGTCCCTATGTGAAAAGGCTGAAAATCAGTGTTACTAATACAGAAAAGTCTGAATTTCCAGGGTGTCCTAAAAATGAAGCCTAATTTTCGAACTCATGATATCTTACCAAGCATGTCAGCCGCGAGACTCGAACCGAAGACCTCAGTGTAAGGAATTTTCTCGAATTCCTTATCGGGGTTGACTACTGCGCGTACAACCCGATTTTCGGAGT